AGTTTTCTTCTCGTTTGATGGGACAAGAGTGGTGGGAAAGTGAAGTTATATCTCCATTAGCAAATTTTTCGAATTGAAGCTTATTTTCAATGTACTGATTGAACTACAAGAATTATAAAAATAAGTTTTTCCAAGTTTATGGCGATTATATTAAACGAGGGACCCTATGTATATCACCGAGTTTGACTATGAAAAGCTCAATGATTATGACAAGGATGAGGTCGACTTGTAGAAAAATTGAAATAATAAGTTTCAAGAATCTAATATAAATGGATGATGATCATGTACGTATTGAGGTTTTTATATTAAGTTTATATTATGATTTTAATATTGTCTTTTTTTATTGACTTGTTGGACTAACTATGGGTTTTAGTCATGTAATATCACTCATTCTAAAATTTGTTTTGATGGAGATGTATCCTAAAACATTAACTATTTGCTTGAGAAACTTATTAGGTACCCCTAATGGGTTATATGTATTCAGGATCTAATTGAAAATGTTCAAAAACGTTCCAATATATGACATCACCAGAGTTGTTAAGGTATATGAAGACAAACATTTTCTGAGCGAGAGACTCGTTGAAGTGTATGATTTTTAACCAATTATGGAAAGCTCCTATAAATATATCTTGATTAAGATTTTCCACGTTGAGTGAGTCTATCATGTCTACGATCATCATCTACATGTTGAAGGCATCCATACTCTCTTGAGGGTCAATCTTCTCATAAGACTCGAGCGTCTTAGATTTTAGTAGATATGAGTTAAAGGTCTTTAACCTCTCTACCTTATCCTAGTATCCTTTACATTATTGCTACAATTTTTTGATTGTTTAGATGATTTCTTGTAGGGTTTGGTTATGGCAACAAAGTTCATCAATAGGGGATGCATCACCCGCTAGGGCTTCATGGTCACTGAAATTGGATGTAACTTGTGTGGCCACCATTGTTGTACATCTGTTGGTTAAGAAAAAATCTTATTAAAAAAGGTGTGGCCCTAGAATATTTTAATGAGCCCTACGGTGGGAAGTAACTATACTTGCTTTGAGTACAATAGTAGTGACTCAACATACAATATGGAAAGAAAGAGATCTTTTATTAGTGATTTTCAAATAATAGGATCCTTTTGACCTAACCCTACAAGTAAGTACAAATAGGCGTTAAACCTAGTGAAACATGCATTGCTTTCAAGCTATTTCCTTAGATTTTGTTAGACTCACTCCGCTCAATCGGGAATCTTTGCAAGTGACCTATTTTCGAGGAAGTCTCCGAACGTGCTCACCCCACACACATATCAAGCACTTAATCACCACATTGACTTTAATTTAAGACCTCTCACGTGTCCTATGTGACATTTAACATATTACACCATTGTTGATATGATATGTGAGCCCTAAGCTGCAATTTTCATGTTGATGCACAATCCCCAAGCATGAGACTTATACAAGCAAAGTAGTTCTAGAGAAAATAAAGCGGTCCACAACCTCCAAACACGAGGCTTCTAAGAGTGAATAAGATTAATAAGGCGATGAATTCTTATGAAGTGCCCTTATCACAATTGATTTAATCTTAATTATAGTGTTTGACAGATAATACCAATAACTTTCAAATGAAACAGTTGATGGGAAACCTAAAGGGTTACCAATCCCACGACCATGGTCGATTTGATCCAGTAATAATAACTGATGTGGTAGTATCGACACTAATTAAACCTTACACGTCTTGTACTTGTGAGGTTATGGATCATTATGAACATTGTAGCCTCCCCTCTTGTTATAACAATATCTATCTGGTATGCTGAAGTCATGTTTCACACATGAAGGGACTTAAATAAGAGCCATTGAAGTGATAATGTACTAGACATGAAGGCATATGAACATGTCATGATACTTCCCTTAAAAGGAGGTCACTAGTCAAAACCCTTAAAAGAACGGGTCAAGCCGACTAAATAAAAAAAAACTGAAGATATTGCATATTTTCACTAGTTCTAAAAGGCTACATATACTTACCTCTAGGATTAGGTAAAAGAAATCACATTCTTATTGTTCTTGCTAAAAACACTAAAACGAGTAGCTTCCCCATAGTATTAAGATTGAGACAGGGTTGCAAACCGAATTTGACTTTGGGTACGTGTCATGAAATAAAGAGCCAAGCGTCTTAGAGTAATGATGACTTTTGCTTTATTGGGTGACGTTCCCTTTCCCCATGCACTATTCATAAGGTCCTATTTAAAACTATTTTTTCCAACTTTCCTTATTCATCCCAGCACTCAAAAAACGTTTCAATCTCCAGAGAAAGCATATATATTCCCAAGCGTTCATCAACTCCAAGTATTCTTCTTCTTCCTCTCATCTTATTTTTTGATTTTCTTTGTTTTTATCTTTAGAAAATGGTCACGATAAGAGAATGTGATGATGAGGTAAATATTGTTAAACCCTCGAATGCCGAAGAGAGAAGGGAGTTATTGGATCAATGCGTGCGGGAGGTTAAGGGTATCCTAGGTCAGGAAGAGTTTAATCGAATCACGAAGGAGGTTTATGGTTGTACCTTCACTTCTTTAAGAGATTCTGTTCTGATTCTTCCTCCTCAGGTTTTGTAGAAGTTTTGATGGAAACATCCGCCCCCTTCGATCTTGAAGTTATGGGCTACAAGAACATCTTGCTTGATGATGAAGAGATTTCCAAGATCCAATCTCTAATGAATGTTTCATCAACCGAGGAAGACAATGTTATCCTAGAGTCATGTGGTCCTGGAGAACATGTATGTATTCTTCGTCATAAGGTTACCGATGAGGAGTTCTTCTACTTCTACACCGGGGTTGTAGAGGACTTCAAGGTCCGAATACCCTTTACTGATTTTGAAGCGGACATACTGAAGAAAATGAATGTCGCTCCTCTCCACTTCGCCCTAATAGTCGGGGCTTTATAAAAAAATTTGAAGTGATCTGTGAGGTGATGAACATCATTCCTACAGTGGATTTGTTCTTCGCCTTTTTTGAGGTAAAAGGGGTCGACAAGTTATCTTGGGTCCAAATCAACGGTATTCCCCACAAGAGCTTTCTCCAAGTTTACACTTCAAACTATAAGGCTTTCAAAGACCAATTTTTTAAGGTGAAGTGTGGATCGATATGTCCCTAGGTTTTATATGGTTTAGACGGGAACCCACGCTTCCCTCTATACTGGTCCTGGGATCCTTCATCCATCTCTGGCTTCAGTTTTGATAAACTGAGTGATCTGGAGGTTCAAGCTTTAAACGTGCTTGACTCCTTCTAGATGATGAAGATTAAGGATTTGTTGCCCCTAACTGCAAAACAGATCTCAGATTTTCATGGTAATGGTTTTTTCTTCTATTTATCAATCGTGTGTATCTATTAATAATACTCATACTATCTTTTTCTTTCCTCACAGATATGATGACAGGTCTCTTTATAGCCAGGCAAAAGAAAATAATGTTGGAAGCAGTGCTTACCAGAAAGGGGCAGGTGGATCTTCGGCGGTTAAGTCTAACCTGGCCGAGTTAGAAACTTGGATTTTGAAGAGGCGAAAGGTGTAGGGTACCAATGCCACTTTGAGCATGGTTGAACCATAGACTTCTGTTTCCTCCATTCAGGAGGAGGTGAAGCAGGGTACTCTGAAGAAGCTAAAGACTCTTATGAGTGACGATGCCTGCCGAGCCGACCGGGAAATAATCTCTTTTATGAGAGAACCCAGAGGCAGTCAAGCACCCGGTGAATTTAAGTTCCCATACAATAACTTTAGTGAACTCCACTTCCTCTACGACCATCTCAATGCTACTGAAGACGTTAATAAGGTCAAGACCATAGGTCGTTGGAAGATGACACAAAACCTTAGTTCTTATCTTATGAGGTGTGTAGTTCTGACTCGTGGATTTTTTTAGTCCAGTGATGATTCTGAGAAGACGGAGTTGAAGCTTAAGGAGGAGATAACCATGCTTAAGGAAGTTCAGATAACTCAATCTGAGAAGTTAACCGACTTGGAGAAGATCTAGCCAAAGAGAAAAAGCAAAGGGAGACTTTAGAGATCGAGAGTAGGGCTTCTCTTACCCATCTCAATGAGAGATTAAAGATGGAAAAGGCCACTAATGATGAGCTGGAGGTTACTATCGACGAGCTGAAAATGCTCTCAAGAACTCTCATGTTAGTATCCTCTCTACCGGTGACGAAGCCTTCGAACGGGCTAAGGATCAGATATTGTGTCTCCATCCCGACTTGGATTAGGAAAAGATGGATTACTTCAAGGTGGTGCAGGATGGCCACCTTGTGGATCTTGAAGAGGTAGAAAACACTCCCTCTCCTCCGCCGAACCTTGAAGAACCTTCTGGCGGGAAGAACAACAATGATGGTGATGGGAAGGAGAACCCGATTGCGTGATGTTGTTATCCTACTTATGTTTCTGTTAGTCATCCCATAAGGATATATTTATGTAATTTTATATAGGGAGTGGTTAATCCACCCTTTTTGTTTTACCAATATGACTTCTGCCTCCGGGCTTTGTACTTTTAACTACCCTTCGTGGCTTATGTATTCGTCATATTTTTTGCTTTTATTTCCTTTTGCTTTGACTTATTAGTTATCCGTTTTTACTATAACTTAAAATAGTCCTATGCGTATATCTAAGCCCCTCGGGTACAAAGTCCTTTGGGATGTATGCATCCGATCATGTAGTGCTGGGTATTATTTTAAACTTTAAGAGACCTGACAACTTTCATGTCTTTTATTTAGGATCTTTCCGATCAATTTACATCCCCAACAGGTTGTAGGCTTGGGTTTATCCCCGATCTGCTTCTTGGTTTGTGTTCTCAGAGTCGCCTCATAGGGATGCACTTTCTTTAGATGAGTTTTACACTTGTATTTGAGACGTTTTAATTTTTTTAAGGAGTGTCCGCTCTATTCGGGGAACATGATCGTTTGGGCGTTGATTCTACTCTGATGTTGTACTTAACTCTTTTTTTGATTAGTAGTGTAAATGTTTAGGTCTCGACCCTTAAATGGGGAGTGTTACTAGGTGCGGACAGAAGTCCGAAGGCTTTAACCGGCTTAGTTGCGGTTCAGAGCCCCTTTGCTTGAAGTCAAGGTTGACCGATTTGTGGTTTAGAGCCCCTTTTTCCCTAAGGAGAGGTTCACTGAGTTGCGGTTCAGAACACCTTTTCCCGAAGGTGAGGTTGACCGACTTGTGGTTCAAAGCCCCTTTTACCTTAAGGCGAGGTTGACCGAGTTGCAGTTCATAGCCTCTTTGCCCGAAGGCGAGGTTGATCGAGTTGAAATTCAAGCCCTTTTTCCCGAAAGTGGGGTTGACCGACTTGTGGTTTAGAGCCTCTTTTGCCCTAAGGCGAGGTTGATCAAGTTGTAGTTCAGAGCCCCTTTGCCCGAAGGCGAGGTTGATCGAGTTGCGGTTCAGAGCCCTTTTGCCCGAAAGCGAGGTTGACCGAGTTGCAGTTCAGATCCCATTTTCCTGAAGGCAAGGTTGACCGGCTTGTGGTTAAGAGCCCTTTTTCCCTAAGACGAGGTTGGCCGAGTTACGGTTCAGAGCCCCTTTACCCGAAGGCGAGGTTAACCGAGTTGCAGTTCATAGCCCCTTTGCTCACGGATAAACAAGGAAGGCTCATATTCCACCTTAAAGCCACACCTTTAAAGGTGCCTTCCATGAGTTTGCACTTCAGCGAATTTGTAGAGCTTATTATTGTCATTTGGTTATTGATAGCAATAACGTGCTCCTGAGGATATATTTTTCCTTCATAGGATGTGAGCAATGGTGTTTTGAAGTTCTCCAGTACTTAGTCATCCCATATAGTTTGAGAAAGAGGATGGGGTTCCAGCGACTCCTCTTCTGGGTGATCGTCCCCTACACTTCTCTGCTACAGGTCTGTGACACTACCCTGCATAATTTTTCTAAAAATACTAAAACGAGTAGCTTCTCTATAAGTACAGGGAGATCCGTAAGAAGTGGATTTATGTAGAGTATTTGGGGATTTAGGAGCTACGATAGCAACACGTATTGTCCCAAGAATGAACGTTTTGCTTATCCCTCTGGTGTGAGCCCCTTATATAGTCCTCTTCTGGCGCCATTTAAGAGCCTCAATAATGGTGTGACTCTTGGACTTCGTAACTGTGTAACAGTCGTCGTCACCTTGAATGAAGGTGTTCAAAGTCATGTAACATTTGAGTAAATGTGTCGATGGCAGTTACAGCCATTAATGAGTCAAGTTGATGGCCGATGGTGGGTGGATCTCAGTCACGAGCATTATCCAAGTTGATGGTACACGTGGATTACTACCTGAAAGTATGGTGGTCGTCCAACACCATTAGCCGAATTGCATTCTCTAGTAGATATCTTCTATTATTAAGAGCTAATCACCAATTTTGTTGTCCTTTCCACTGACTTCATAATTCGATTGGAATTAATATTTTTGGAATGTCCACTAACTAATAAGTAAGTGATTAAAATCTTTTCAGTTGACATATTGCAAATAATATTTTTACCATTACTATTATACTCATAAAGTACATTCTCTAAATCCTCAAGTATGTACTTGTTCTAATGATTCTCTTAACTCAACTTCTCTAGATTTTTTCTTCTATAAATTAAATATACCTTGGTAAGTAGAGGATCGGGTCCACCAATTTTATACAGAAGCCCAACAACAGCTATTTTGCTCTTCCCATTTATTTTTAGGCTTTCATGAACCATATGTAGCTCCATGTCATACCTAATATTTCAGTCCAATAAAAATAAAAAAAATAAAAATTTAATTTCGACCATAAATTTCTCCAATATTAATTATGAAAGCGAAGCAAGACCAACCTTTGGCCATTAATGGTGTGTTCAGAAGGTGAGTGCCAGTGCATCTGACGTAGAAAAAATTCTGTCGCATTGATATTTATTGATCCTGCATCTCCTTGCCATTTCAGCTGCCATCATTTATAAACTGAATATAAATTTAAGCTACCAACCAGAAAATCGGTGTAGTATGTAACCAAATAATAAAATCGGTGTAGTATTAATTTATCGACAACCTCATGTATACTATGATGACGACTGAATAGCCAATCATTATCGCTTTAATTCTTATATGACTTTTCTGACAAATATATGATATTTAGTACACTATTCAACATAATATTAATATTGTGTTGAATTTATAAAATGATTTATAGTTTAGGATAATTTTTTCCTTTCAAAATGTCTATAATTAACAAATAGGAAGTGACAAAATATAATTATAATTATATAAATAAAAGTAAGTGTTACTGAAGTTTTTAATTTCTACAAATAAGTGTTTGTTCGTCTATGCAGTTTTATGTTTAACTCTCTTAAAATAACATCTATCCACATGAATTATCAATAAAATAAAACCAATAGATAAATATCATTTATGTATACGATGTTTTGGTGTCATGAAAATTTTCCGGTGATATATGTAAATTTAGAAAAGATTACTGATCATTGTTTTAAATTTCAAGGAGATATCAAAGTAATTGTAATAGACTTAGAAAATTAAGTTTCCGCTTAAGTTAGTTTAACGATATAACTAAATTTATTTATAGGTTTAATTATTGTTGTATTAAATAGATTTTCTTTACATGCAATTACTTACACTAGTGCGTTTCTTTAATATAACCTAAAAAGTACTTTTCATGCTATATATATATGAAAAAACTTATTAATTTAACCTAAAAAGTACTTTTGTCATTTAATATTCATTCAACCATGCTTGGTGACATCACAATGATTCCATATGTATTAACACAACCATGCACTTTCAAATAACTAAAAAACATAAACTATATAAACCATAAAACATATTTGATTTAAAAATATTTTGATCTTTGTAAATTGATGTGTTTTTTATTTTTGTTTTTGTATTTTATTTTTTTGAAAATAATCTCTAAATATTAAAATTATTTTTATTTTAATTTCTAAAGTTAAAATCTACAGGAAAATTTAAAAGAAAATCCGCAAAAATATGAAATACGTAAAAATCTATAAATTTTCTTATAAATTTTAAATTTTTAGATACTAAAATCGAAAGAATTTTAACATTCAAACTTACGGAAACAAGTCAAAATACTTTTACATACATATAATTGTGATGAGATGAATAAATTTTAGGTTGATTAATTACCTGAATATCATGACCTCTGTTTCTTATAATTGCATTTTGAGGCTTATAATTTTTCTTTAGTTCATCCAACTTTGGCACAACCCTCACTATGTTACTTGACATATCAATTGGAGATTGCATTACTCCATTTTTACATGTTGCCCATTCCTTCTTCAATTCTCCCCAATGTGAAGGACCCTTTTTGCTCTCTTTTATATAATCAAATTCACTCTCATCCTCTACACAAATACATAGATCTCAAATTACTCAAATAATACAATATAATATGAAATACTTAATGATGGGGGAATAAACATTTGATTTTGCTTACCAATTTCATCTGCTATGGTCCATGTTGTTGAAAGGAATAGGATAGTTACTAGTATTAGTAGATTTGGAAGTAGGTTTATGACTATTTTTTGGTGTTTCATTTTGATTTCAGGCAAAAGAGATGAAATATTTTGGACTTGGAAATTTGAATGAATAATGGAAATGATAAATACATAAAGATATTTTATAGAAAGAATTGCAAGTATGTCCCAACCTATTTGGAGGTGTAGGGTAAAGTTTTATATAAGGCGTTCATAATTATAATAATATTATGCTATTTAATTTTTTTTGGATCAACTTTAAAATAAAATAAAAAATACAATTTAAACACACAAAAATTATTAAATACTAGTTTTTAAATTTAATTTAATTTTTATATTTTCTAAAATAATAATAATAATAATAATAATAATAATAATAATAATAATATAATAATAATAATAATAATAATAATAATAATAATAATAATAATAATAATAATAATAATAATAATAATAATAATAATAATAATAATAATAATATAATAATAATAATAATAATAATAATAATAATAATAATAATAATAATAATAATAATAATAATAATAATAATAATAATAATAATAATAATAATAATAATAATAATAATAATAATAATAATAATAATAATAATAATAATAATAATAATAATAATAATAATAATAATAATAATAATAATAATAATAATAATAATAATAATAATAATAATAATAATAATAATAATAATAATAATAATAATAATAATAATAATAATAATAATAATAATAATAATAATAATAATAATAATAATAATAATAATAATAATAATAATAATAATAATAATAATAATAATAATAATAATATAATAATAATAATAATAATAATAATAATAATAATAATAATAATAATAATAATAATAATAATAATAATAATAATAATAATAATAATAATAATAATAATAATAATAATAATAATAATAATAATAATAATAATAATAATAATAATAATAATAATAATAATAATAATAATAATAATAATAATAATAATAATAATAATAATAATAATAATAATAATAATAATAATAATAATAATAATAATAATAATAATAATAATAATAATAATAATAATAATAATAATAATAATAATAATAATAATAATAATAATAATAATAATAATAATAATAATAATAATAATAATAATAATAATAATAATAATAATAATAATAATAATAATAATAATAATATAATAATAATAATAATAATAATAATAATAATAATAATAATAATAATAATAATAATAATAATAATAATAATAATAATAATAATAATAATAATAATAATAATAATATAATAATAATAATAATAATTTATAATAGCAAAAGTCAGACAAAATTTGTGTCATTTTTGTTTGATAAGCAAATTTTGTTAAATGAGTTTAAGCGGTATTAAAACCCATTATAATACAACGTTCAATAATTTTGAAGACAAAACAAAGGATTGGAACACCAAAACAAAAACCTAGTTCATAAATGTCTTTAGCCTTGCTACATACCAGAACCACACAACTAATATGACACTTTCAAAGACTTCCCCCGCCACCCTTTTGGATCATTTGAAGTAAAAAATATAAGATGAAAATGGCATAAAATAAGTTTTAAAATTGTGTTTACATTAAATTTTATGTTCAATTCATTCCATAAATTTAGGAAAATTAAATATTAATGAGTAATTTGACAAATCTCTTTTAAGATATTTTAGAAACTTTAACATGAATCATACATTCTCAATAAATATATCAATTAAGGATATTTTAAAAATAAAATTCTCTCATTTATACTCAAATACTAGAAAAATAAAAGAATGACTTAAATATAATTTAGACATTTGAAACTTATATTTTTGGTCTATTTTATTTAGTTTGCACAATATCTCTATTTAGAGAGAAATCCATGTCATTTGGTGAAGAGAAACATCTCTTGAATTATTGGATATTTACAAATGATATATATTATTACCGTTTAAAAATTAGCTAAAACATCACATTGGTCCAGTGTTACTGGTCAGTGTCCATTATTCTTTTGAGCATCATGTTTTTTGTTCGAACTCGGTCGGGTGCAACTCTTGGATTTTCTTTTTTCCATTATTTGTTAAAGAAACAAATAATTTATAAAAAAATATCCAAATCAAATTTCGAATGCATGACCTTTATTGTATATGTATTCAAAGTCAAAATGACTACACCGATGCAATCATTAGTGATCTAAAAATACTATAAAATGAATTTAATCATTGTCATTCATCAAATAAATATTTTGGAAATTCACCAATAATATTTTTGGAAATTGAAACTTGTAATTTTGTCTATTTTTCGGTTTGGCCAATATCTCTATTTATATAGAAATTTGTGTGGTGAAGAGAAACATCTTTTAAATCATTGGATGTATTATTACCATTCAAAACTAAATAAAACACCATATGTGGTCACGAAAGGAAAATGGACACGACAATCATGCTTCTTCTCTAGATCAAGCAAAAAGTCACTCGAGAGACGTACAACCAAAGCACCCGTTGTCAGCAACAATCATGAAGAGAAAAATCTTGAAGTCTATGGAGAAGCCACCCAAGATGGGAGATTATGATTAAAAAGGAGATATGGACGAACACATGCATCTTGTGAATGACTAACTAAGTTACTTCAGTTCTGACTAAGCCTCAAAGTGAAAACTCTTAGCACGAACCTTGGTCGAGCTGGATCGATTATGGTTCAATGGCCTGCATGACAGATGTATTGATTCTTGGATGGAGTTCCAAAATAATTTTTTGTAAAATTCACATCCCGAAAGTGACGACTGTGATCGGTGGAAATAGAACTGACTGTTTTGAAATGCTGGTTCGCGAAATGTCGCGGTAAGCAAGAGTCGCCACCGTCTTTTATTTTCTCCAACAAGGAAAGGACAAAAGCACAGCAAAATTCCTTTTCGAGATGTTTCTCGGTTCGGGAGGTAGATTATAGAAAGGGAAGGTGTTAGCACCCTTTCTATCCGTGGTTATCCATGGGCTCTTAGGTACTTGCTCACTATGTTTTTAAAAATGTTTTGCTTTTCTTTGTGTTTGTGGGTTTTGAAAAAGTTTGTTTGAAAACTTCATTTTAACTCTTGTATCAGTCCTCAAGAGTGTATGAAGTGTTTGTTTGAAAACTTTTGTCAGAAAAGTGTAAGTGCGAAAAGTTGTTTTTGTTTTGAAAGAGCAAGTACCTTAGAACCTCTACCTACTCAAAAGAAATTAAGCTGTGTAAATATCCTTTAGACAGTACTATCCCACTATTGAGAAGTAGGTAGCACCGTCGTTGGAGTTTCGGGTCAATTCGATTATAGGGACATGTGTGGTCACCAAAGCAATAGTAGGACGCCTTAGCGGTAACCCTAATGTCTTAGATCGTTTTTATCTGAGGAAACCATTTCGAGGCAACTTGGATCTTTAGACAAGAGGGCGACCTCTAAAACACCCTATACTCAATGACCACGTCGAGGCAACCAAGTGAGGCGTACCCTAAGAGTGGCATGTGCGAGTGTGTCAGGTTTCAGTTAAATTATCTTTGCACATATTATGGTGAGCTACGTTTTGATTTTAATTTTCAGGTAAGTCTTGTCATGCATAGTCTAGTTAACATACATCTAACAGTTTAAATATTGCGGAAAGTAAATTGCGGAAAGTAAATCTAAGCTATTACAAGGCGTCGGGTATTTACATCGCCAAAAACAACCCTTGAAAAGTAAATTGCGGGAATTTAAAAGAAAGCGCTAAAAAGTCCTAGTTACACTATTACATCCTCGGAGCAATTACATAAATATGAAAAAAAATAATATGCGCGAAAAGAAATTAAATCGGAGAAGTCCTAGGGTTTTGACCCTTTTTGAAAAAAGAATGAATTTATGGTTATTTTGCACTTAATTAAATTAATCCTAAAACTAATTAATTAATTAAAAGAAATGTTTTTTAAGTTTTTTATGTTTTTAATGAAAATAAAATAAAAGAAATTAAAATTGTCAAGAAAACCCTAATTCTAATTTATTTTTATTTGTTATGAAAATAATTAAGTTAACCTAATTAAAACAACTAAATTAATTAATTACATTTATTTACAAAAATAATAAATTAACGGTGAGATTAATAAATAATAATAATAATAAAAATATTATATTTTTCTGATTTTATTATGAAAAATTAATTTGGTTAATTTAAGTAATAAAAATAATTATAGTAAATAATTAGAATAAAGAAGAAAAAAGAAAAAGAATTAAAAGAAAAATAAACCAAGGGGGGGTGCTGGCCCATTATGGAGGTATTTGTTGCAATTCTGGCCCATTAAGCTGCCAGTCCGTTTTGACTTTTCCAGGATTGTACACACGCGCGTTGACTGGGAGCATGATAGTCATCATCTCATAACCCTTGGATCTGGGCCTGACGCCACATGGCGCGTTGATGATTGAGGTACATGGTAGATACTTTTTGGAAACCTGCATAAGAACATGTTAAGAAAAATAATATCAAGTATTTTGGGGGACCTGGGATTCGAACCCAGGTCCCAATGGTTAATGCTCCCACGCCTTTGCCAATTGAACTAGAACGCGCATCTGATAATATAATAACAAGTAAATATAATATATATAAATCAATTCATATGCTGTAAAAACAAAAACACACGCGCCTTTTCAAACGAACCAATGACATGATAACACATCATCATCGTCCTCGTTGTGCCTGCAAAAAACAACATTAGATAGCGGGGGTTTTTAACCCCCACAAACTGCAGCGGCGAAAAATAGTGATTAGCCCTGTGATTAATATAAATATTTCGCGAATAGTCAGTCTTGTTCGTCTTGGTTCAACGAATTCAGGCATATGTCTTATAAGGCCTAATTTTCCCTAGATTGCAGCCCTAATTTGAAAGCTTATGAACCCTAAAATTTGTCAATGGCATTATGTGATTTATGGCGTTATAATTCAATTGAGCTATACCATTAGCTTTGTACAGTCCCTAGCAACACAAATCAAACACAAAATCATGTTAATGATGCATGAATTAAGCTGTACGATTCTCAAAAT